AGAATAAGGCGTGACCCCCTCCCCAGGTGTTCACAGTCGTCCAGAGGTGAAAGGTTGATGCAGATAATAGGACAGATGCTAATGCTAATAGGACAGATTATATATGCCATCATTTACTAAATTGCTTTGGTAATGTAATGTATTTCCAACTTTTATTCACTTGACATCCAAGGCTGCTTTTTTCACTCAAATATTTTTATTGTCTTTAACAGAGAATAAATTGGTAGAAAATCAATTTTTATTTATCTGATTACACTATTAATGATTTCTAGATTCATTCCTCTCAGCAACATTTTGCCAGTTTTTCATGTTGACCAGAATCTTACTGGGATTATAAGAAGTGGTATGTTTGGAGATTTTTAACTAATTTGTCTACTTGGAATGGTGATCATGGGTCACTCTGTGTCTCATCATCCTTCTGAAATAGATTCTTAGCAGAGGTTCAGAAGCTGACATCTGATATTTCTTATCTCCAACGAGAGACTTTCTCATTGAAATTTAAAACATTGTCATTTTTTGTTCTGTCTACAAATTGTTTTTTATTATGGAACTACTATGTGTTGAATAGCTTATGGAACATTTGACAAACAAATCAGAGCATTTTATAGTTTTAAGTCTATAGCTACAAGCAAGATACAGTCTCACAGCCTCCTCTTTGGCTTTATCTGCATTGAGTTTGTATCTCTGGAAGCCAGAAGCCTAGACTTCTCCAAAGCCAATGGTCTCTCACTCAAGCATAAACTCAAGAAGTAATCTAATTTTAAATAATGGAAGTCTTCTCTGGAACTATAGACGTTCACAGGCAGAAATCCACTTTGATCTCTAGGGAAGGTCGGCAGCGAGCCTGCCCAGACCTCTGAAGTATCTTTGCTTTTGTAGATGGCTTCCTTCTATAAAGGAAGCACTTCTGTAAATCTCCAAGGAGAGGGAGTTCAGCAAGTGCTATTGGAGTGTCCTCGCGGGGAACATGTTGAAAGCAAATGTGGGCCAAGTTTGCATTCAGTTCTCACTATATTCAAAAAGGGGGCTATGGGTTATATTGCAATGTTTCTAAACTGATTATCCAGAACAGAGGCTCATCTTGATGCCAATTCTTTACATGCATTGCCAGACTAAACAAGTACCTTTTGAGGTTCATCCATCACAATTTATGATACATTAAGCTAAACCTAATGTTCTCTCAGGCTGGTATTAGGGGATTTTCAATATTCAGACTAAGAAATTGCATTTGGGGAAAGGGATTTCTCCTCTATTTTTCCATAGAATTTCTTTAGTTCTGTAGAGTCTTGTTATGTCTATTGGACCCCTGTTATTCGCTGGTTCTAATGGCAGATTGATTTTCAGCATTTGAAATCTTAACTGGTAGCAGGAAATGGCGTTAACATTGCGTGAACTACTATAAATTGTTCATTGAAAAAGAGAGTGTTTAATTATAAACGAAGGAACCTGCTTCCCAGTTGATTATATTAAACACTTAGTTTCGAAGCTCTGCACTATTGCTAATAAGCTATTTCTCACAATAGGCCTCAGAGGGAGCCTAGTACTATCACCTCCTATTTTTATAAATGATGCACTTGACCCATAAAAATTAGATTGCACATATTGGACCACATGGAAATCAAAAACTAGGATTAGGTTTCAAGTTCTTAGTGTACCTGTGCCTGGTTTACAGATCTATGCTCTTAGCTTTTTGAGCAGCCACAGTAAGTTAAAAAATCAAATAAATTTAACTGTCTTCTGTTGCTATAGATGGCTACATGCACACACACACTTTTTTTTTTTTTTCCCTTAGAGCATCTCTGTTCTATATGCAAAACTAGATATTTTGTTATGGGGTAACATAAAACGAACTCAAAGAGATTCATCTCCAGTGAAATGATCCATGCTACTTATTCTGACGTTCCCTAACTTTAGCTCACTTGCCAGACTGTCCCTCTTTTCCTTTTCAGAATCTGTCATTTGGAAGACTAGTATGATTGACTTTGGCCAAATCATAGAATTGTCTGATACTGAGATCAACAAATGTTTGTGGCACTGAGTTCATGCTTATAAATCCTCTTGATTATATTGTTTTCTATCAAAAAATATAGTTGCATATCATCTTTAATCTTATTCATTAATTGATTTCCAGATTTATAATCTTTAATATTTTTTACTTTGGATTTTGAAAGTTATTTCTCATGAACAAAACAGTCCATAACAGATAATAAAGATCTTGATTTCATGGTTTTTTTAACCGTGGCTTTTGAATTGTTTAGTACTTTAAATCTAATTTGTCTGATGGGTTTGCAGTTCTCTCAATGTCCGTAGCACCTTACTATGTCACTATGCAGACAATGGAGGTAGAAAACAATGACTGCCTGGTAAATAAATGTTAACCGTGGAAACATCAGAGTTTTTTCTTGTGTTTGTATATGGCAACCAACATATAACTTTGGAATGAAATTTGTTTTATCGGTACTCCCATATGAAGCAATTAATAAATTAATATATATTTTTTAAACTTTAAAATTATGAATTGTCTGTTTAATATTTTTATTTAGATTTATAATTTCACTATAGAAACAGGATAAGGAAAATTCTTACCAAATTAAAGGAAACTCACTTAAATTTTATGGTGCTAACAAAAGTAAATGCTTCTTGACACACTATTTTTTAGATCTATAAAAAAAGAAAAGGATGGGGGCCGGCCCTGTGGTTTAGCAGTTAAGTGTGCGTGCTCCACTACTGGCAGCCGGGTTCGGATCCGGGCACGCACCGATGCACCGCTTGTCTAGCCATGTTGAGGCGGCGTCCCACATACAGCAACTAGAAGGGTGTGCAACTGTGACATACAACTATCTACTGGGGCTTTGGGGAGAAAAAGGGAAAAAAGGGGAGGAGGATTGACAATAGATGTTAGCTCAGGGCCGGTCTTCCTCAGCAAAAAGAGGAGGATCGGCATGGATGTTAGCTCAGGGCTGATCTTCCTCACAAGAAAAAAAAAAAAGAAAAGGATGTCTGTGATCTTATGATTTGCTTTGTGCTATAGAACTTCAATTACATCTGAATTATATGTGCACAATATTATATACCAAATATAGTAGCCAGATGTAGACATTTTCAGCACATTTCCCTTTCAATGTAAAGATATAATGTAAAGTCATTATTCAGTGTCTATTAAAATATAAATATATGACTCTAGGTAATAGAATGCCATAATTTCTCCTAATTTCATCCTAGAGTCATGTACCGATACAGATATGATTAGGAATAAATCAGGTTCGTAAGTTGCATTTTACTATGGAAAAATGTAACAAACAACAATATGAGAATGTGATTTAAATATTTGTCTTTTCGTGTTTTCATTAAGACTGAAGCTTTGTGCATTTTCTAAAAAATATTTTGGAAGATTCTCTTCTAAGATTCAAGATTCAGACTTCTTCAAACTTATAAAACAATTCATATCTATGCAGTGTGTGGCTTTTCTAGACATACGTATCCTAAGTGTTGGAGGGATAAATTGGACTATAATCTATGAGTACACAATTTACAATACATGAGAGTCAGGGTATGTCTGCTGTGTTCATCTCATGGAAATGGGGCCCCTCTTACTGCCTAGTCCTGAACAGGAGTCCTGTAAATATTTCTTCAATAAAAAGAAAGATATAAACATTGCTTTTGATATTAATTTATCTCCCCACACTAAGATGCAAAGAAGAAGGCAGAGGAAAATATTTGGGGCTTAAGAGTAAAGAAAATTAAAAGCAAAATTTTTTAAGATTTAAAACTGTATTAATCTCTAGTGCATTCTTACATAGTTCTACAGATTTCTATGATATTTCCTGGCCTTTATTGGACTAACTAAGGAAACTCAAGTTAAACTCAGGAATGGTAGCCAAACTGCAATTAGAAGCTCTTCAGTATCTGCAGGTCCTCTAAATTCACATCACCTTTCCAGTGTCATTATATATTTAGGTTTAATGGTAAAAGTGAATGGACACTATTTTATTCTGATAATTATGTTTCACTGCATTTGCTACATTTCATCTTATAGGGATGGCGATGTTAAGGGAGAGGGAAATGGGTAGAATGTTGGAAAAGAGAAATGTGTATACAAGAACATCCCTGCCATAAAAAGGAGCAAACTCTCTTCCGCATGGAGTCCCACAGTATCATTCAAAGTCAGGACCAGAGCCCTTGGGAAGCCGGTAGATGCTCCCCTGGCAGCCTCTGCTGGTTGTCACTGTTGACCCGGGTTGTGAGAACAGCCCTGACCTCAGACCCCGACGGCACTGCTGTTGGGACACACACACAGCATGTTTCCAAGCCGTCTGCCAAGAGGTTCTTTTGTCCATCTGCATGAGAGAGCCAGCAAACAGTTCCAACTAGAAACAGCCATGTGTGGTGGAAGAGAGCAGTCACAGCACGTGTTTTAAAAACACCTGTTTTTTCAGTTCAGATTATTTCAGCATATGAAAATGCCTCATGAAAGTGAACTGACTCAATTCTTACCAAATTTGGGCAGCATGTAGACACAACCTTAGAAGAATTTTCTTTAATATGACATTTGTGCAATATTTGAGTCATTTGGGAAATTGTGCCATAATTAAGGGCTGGCATAGGGAAGCAATTGGGCTTAATGATCCATATTATTATTTTTAATTCTAATACCTAATGACTTTATATAAACAGGTTGCACCATTTATTCAAAATTCAGTGGCGACAATGTTTAAGTATCATTTATAGACTTAAAAATTTTTATGTCACTGGAAAATATTATCCAATTTATAAAAATCAATGTTTAGAGTCTTCCAATGACTTAGGTCTTTAGATTATTTCTAGATTAGCTAAATGAGATTTATTGATATGCACACTACTTGGAAATGACAAAGAAATATGTATATATTTTATTTTATTTTGTTTTGCATTATTTCAGCCCAGAGATAATTACCTAGAGTGAATGAATCCCTAAGATTATGAAAGTAACACTAACTACTTATGGAATTTTTATGTTTTAGCATTAAAAAAAGGACGGTTTTGGATCACACCTGATCCTTATCACAAAGATGACAACATCCAGATTGGGCGTGAGGTGAAAATATCTTGCCAAGTAGAAGCTGTTCCTTCTGAGGAGTTAACATTTAGTTGGTTTAAAAATGGTCGTCCATTAAGAAGTTCTGAGCGGATGGTTATTACACAGACTGATCCAGATGTCTCCCCGGGAACGACAAACTTGGACATCATTGATTTAAAATTCACGGATTTTGGGACATACACATGTGTAGCATCTCTGAAGGGAGGAGGAATATCTGATATCAGTATTGATGTTAATATATCCAGCAGCACAGGTAAGAAGCATATTTACGATGCAAAAGATGTTCACAGTAATTTGTTTACATTCAGCAGACAAAATAGTCTTCAATCAAGCTAAGAACATTCTTGTTTTTCAAGTTTCCTAAGACCAAAATCCTAACATTCTGAATGCCCAATAAATATTACATTGAGAGACATCTTCTGTTTTGATTTGGATTTACATGAGGTTTTACAGAAATAGTACAAATAAAATTAGTGGCATTGGCTGTGATAGATATAGTCTTCCAGATTAAATAGTACCAGTTTCGGAGGTGGTGGGGGGTTGTAATTAACCAGGAACCCTCTGTAGAGCCTTAAATTATATTAATTAATACATTTAAACAATAAATGTCTAAAGAGTTAAGATAATTCTCAGAAATTTTAAACAGAAACTATTTAGTCCTAAGATAGATAATTTGAGTATTTAATTATAAGATATATAAATAAATGTATTTTCCACCAATAAAAAACAATGATAAAGTTGTTAAAGTTGTAATTAGATGTGACGTTTCGAAGAAACTTATGATAGAATCTCTTTACAATGAAACTGGTGAAATACAAAAATATCTTTGAGTGAAATTCTTTCTAAGGTTAAAAATGAAAATATGTTATCAATTTTCTCTCAGTGCTATGTGCATCTGTAGATGAGGACACGTGCAGGGCTGCGGGGTGGGAGGACACACTCGCTGGACTCTCGGTGTTTGAAAGCCTGGGCTTCTATGAACTGTAATCAGTGTGCATTTGGAGGACTCCAAAGTAGCTTTCTTTGTTTTGCCAGCTTGTTGCCAGATTGAATTTTAATTTAAGATTTTTATATCATCCTAGGGTGAATAATACGTGTTGAAGACATGGAGCACAAATGTAGCTGGCAGACATGCTCTGTTTCGAGGCAGTTTAAACAGTGGGCTTTTGCTTTCTAGTCAGGCAACATTTTGACTCGTGCACGTTAACAGGTTGACCTGTGATTGTGTGTTTTCTCATGACTCCAAATTGCAGTGCACATCGGATTGATTTCACTCCTTAAAGGATATAGGTCCATACTTCAGGCTGACCGAATGTGCTGACTTTTCACCATTCTGCATTATTTCTAAGGAATGGTCCATTTTCATCAGCTACAATTAATATAAAAGGAAGTTAGGGTGGTGAAAAGTACTTGTGTTTGGATGGGTGTCCTTTTCTAAGCAAAGCAACACCAACAATCACTATTTTTCATCTAACCTATGTTTCAAATGCTGCTAGCACGAGGGGATGACTCATTTTAGGATATCTAAGGGAAAGCTGTTGGTATGCCCAGTCAGTCATCATTTGTTTATGTATTCATTCAGTCAACATCCATTGATCGCCTACTTCAGTGTGCTAGGTGACCTCCCACTATGATAGTTCCTGTAAGCTTAAGAACAAGTTTGTAGGATCCAGGATCATTTGTCCTGATTTAGGAGGGATGATTTTCCAGAATTGGTCTCCACTTAACTATAAGCATTGCTTTGTTTGGTTGGTTGTCGTCCTAGTTTTGTTTGCTTGTGTCTTTTTCAGAACTAGTAACACTAACTCAGATCCAAAGAATCAATGCTCCTATCTAAAGAGACTTGTCTGATGGGAGCACAGTTCATACTCCACTAAACTTAGACAAAAGAAGGAGCACAAAATGGAGAGAAGGAGGGAACATTATATAATTACTCCCAAAATGATTGCTAACATTCATTTTTAAATAGACTAGTTATGTCACCTATTTGAAACTATGTTTTGTAAATGACAAAGTAGAGAAGATAACCGGCATTGATTCATGAAATTTCCAAAAATCCTAAAAGGAAAATGCCAAAAGATGATCAGAAAAGCAGAAAATATTCAAGAAATGCCTCTTAGTAATAGAAGTTGAGTTATAATAAAGTTTCTTAACTGTCACCATTTTGTCTGGTTACCAAACATAACAATCCTAGAGATAAAGGAGATATATTAAGTCCTCTTCCAAAACACTCCCCTTTGCTGTTCCCCGCCCACCACAGGCAGACCTGGCTATGGTCAGTCTCCTCCCTAAAGGGGAAGCTCCATGAAGGCTGGGACTTTGTCCCTATTGTTGATTGTTGTGATCTCAGCATCGGGAACAATACACGACACTTAGTAGGTTCTCAGTGAATAATTATTAAATAGAGAAATGAGCTACTTTGTGCACATAGCTGTCCTTTCAAGTTTTCTTTCCTCCTTCTGTTACCTCTGCAAGATGGACATTTGGTGTCTCTCTTCCTGTTCTTGTAATTCCCTACTGATTTTAAGAAAAGCTATTCAATAAATCAATTTATACTATGATTTATCATGTTATCACTCTCAGGGGCAGGACTGGCTCCATAATTTGTGGTGTCGAGTGAAAATAAAAAAGTGGATCCCTTGCTCAGAACTTGCTAACAATTTCGTGATGGCAACATCAGAGCATGAAACCAAGCATGGGCCCTCTAAGGGTGACTGTGCAGGTGGCGTGCTCCTGGGGCTGGCCTGTGCAGGGGATTGTATTTTGATAGGGCGGCTTGGAGAAGACGATGTTTAACCTGAAGGACGAGTCACTGAAAGCGATTATGTACTCTGTTGTCATGTGGAAACTCGCTTTGATGTCCCATTTTGCTTACAGCAGAGTGGAATACCAGAGTACAGTATAAAGATCTGTAAATCTGAAGTTGCATGGTTCAATTGATATCAATAAAAATTATTTTTGTCCCCACCTGCTAGAAGACTACACTTAAAGCAGTGCTTTAGTATGAAATGTAGAGATATTCCCGGGATGGAGTTTGAACGCTGAGAACGAACGAGCTATAGCGTGGAGGAAAATGTTGGACTATAGTAGTTCTGTGAGCTGTATAGGATTCAGAGGAAAGTCCCACACACAGGGTGAGTGAAGTCAAAGAGAAGGAAGCTACTGTTAAGACATAAGTGAATATGTGTGGCCCTCTTGGATGCTGGGTTTTGCTACTTCTATTGTTAATATTTTAGGGATTTAGGATTGACCAAGTGGTCAGTGATTTTCTTATGTGTTAAACATCAGCTATTTTAGGGAGACATTTTAAACTTAAAAAAAAATTTCTGAACCTTTTGTTTTTCATATAGACTCTTACATTGAATCCTAGTTTTACTGTGTTTTAAGAGACATATGTGAAACTTCTTAAGAAGAGGATGAGGTACCATAAGGTACTTTTGCCTAATACATTTGGAAAGCATTTTCTAATGACAGAGGCATGTCTATAGATATGTTTTTGAGGACTTTTAAAACTGAAATATAAAATATGTCAGGAAGGTAAATACAAGTGTACGGAATTATTAATATTTTTAAAAGACAATGATTTGATTTTAGAAAAACTGAAAAGAGAGGCTACATGTATTTTGAAATTTGCCTCATGCATTTGATTGAATAACAAAAACTATGATATGTGTGATGATAGATTGTCTTATTTTCACAGTAATTCAACATTAGAAACTTTTTTTCCTCCTGATTCCTCCTGATTCTCTAAACATTCAAATTGTTTCATTGTGAGCATTTGTTGTTTTGTCAATTTAAAATTCATGGTTCTTGTAGATTCTTTTACTGTGTTATTGCTCTGTATCTGGATCTACGTCATATGGTGATAGAAAAGTGGGCCTTGCCCCTAAGGACCTTACCATCTAAGTCGTCAAATTACTTAGATGTCAGATGACTTAGAAATTAGGCACAATTATAGTGGGATGAAAGCTATACTTACTTCAAGTTTGATCAGACCTTGTAGGAATTGTGAATGCTTTTCTCAATGTGACCCAGGAAAGTGTCACAGAAAAATGACATTTGAGTTATATCTTGATGGAAGTAGCATTGTGATGGTGACAATGGAGGGAGGGTGCATTTGGCAAAATATACAAGATGAAGAAAGTCCCAGGAATATTATGTGATTCTTCACTCCTTGCTATTCTTGTAGGATTAATATGAATTGATATTAATATTAATATAAGCAAGTTATATTGGTATATTTCAATTTTATTATTATTATTACTGAAGCTATATTTTATCTGGCTAGACTACAGATGACTTAAAAAATACATTATAGTAATTATAAATTTATCCATTGAATATTAAATATACTGAAATTTTAATTGTTAACAATGCAATTTTGTAAAATGAAAATCCTTCACATACTGGCTGAATAATGCATGTGAATTTTAGCCTAAAATTTTGACAACAGTTAAAATCAACCCTTGAAATACTGTCACTTAGTTGTTATTCATTTACATAAATATAATTGTTACAGTGGTTTTTTAATCTTCAGAGGGCTTGCTGAAAAACATTTCATTGCCTCCTCCAGTGTTGTTCCGTGTTAAAGTCTTTGGGTGCTCATTAGCCTGCACGTATTCCTTTGCGTGACCTGACACACTTGTAGGTTGATAGTAAACTCAGAAGCATCTGCATCATGCCTAGAAGATATAAACAGTGAGACTGGTGATCTGTGGAATTCTCGTGGTGAGACATCTGCTGGGCAAATACAGCAGAAGACACAATACAGAGTGGATAATTTTTTCCTCTCTTATTAGAGTACATGAGCATTTTATATAGCAGAAAATGGAGCAGGATTTAGAGGATTAATCCAGAGACAGCAACATAAGTATAGGTGCACAGAGGTGCCCAGCTGAGAAAATGAGTTTGGAATTTTAGCTTTGCTGCTGACTACCTGACTAGTTACTATAAGTATGATAGTTAACAAATGTCTGTACAAGTATTCACATCTGTGAAATCAAAGTTCTCGATCACCTCGGGCTGTGGCACACAACACAGGATGCTTAATGAGCAGGAGGGCAAAAGAAAAATGACGAAGTCCACGTCACTGGATTTGCTTCTTTGCCTTTTTCCGGTTAAGGAAGAATAGAAACTCATGAAATTCTGCTGATTAAAACTGAAGTTCTATAGGATGACTACAGTGAATGATAGGTGGTTTTATGTTAGAGGGAGTTGGAATTAAGACTATCACATGTAGGACCTGACAGTGCT